ACACATGATTCCAGTAGGTATAGTCATAATTTGTAATATATTTGTTTCAGATTGTTGAAGGAAAAATACAGTATATGTCCAGATTGGGTTAATATCATACCACTAATCAATTGTCTGTCGTGGCTAAGGCTAGAGCCACTTGGGTCATTTTTATTCGCTCAATCACACTACTACAATCACTGTTGGGTAATCACTAAGGGGTCAGTTTATGAAGCATCTATACTGCTTCAAAACACCAAGCAAACAGCACATCTGTGATGTGCCTTACAAATGTGTTTAGTGCTTCAATGGTTTGGGGCTCTGGAGCCAGCGGAGTGCTAGTAAAGTGCAGAAGTGTTTGACATGATCTACCAAAGTTTTGTGGTCAGCTTCTACTCCAGTCATAGAGTTCTCTTTGCTGTATTAAGTAAAGAGAACTGTGTAACATGCCATAGACTCTACACCATGGCCATGGTAAAATTCAGGCTGCACTGTGGATTATTAGTTTAAAGCTTTGGACTCCAAACCTTCTAAACAAAGGTACAGTCTATTGTTCTTTAGACTATAAGACTATAGGAGGGCTGGACCTTGGTCAAGGGGGAGTAGAAAATGCCTTGGGCTTGGGTGAAAGTAAAAAAAACAAAAAAACATAGTGTCTGTGGTCAATAGGAGGAATAGTGCCCCATGATTGGTATTAGTGGGAGGTAGAGTGTCCCATCGTTGGTGTCAGTGGGAGAAATAGTGTTGCATCATTGGTGTCAGTGGGAAGGATAGTGCTCCATTGTTGGTGTCAGTGAAATAAATAGTGCTCCATTGTTGATGTCAGTGGAAGGAATAGTGCCCTATCCTTGATGTCAGTGGAAGGAATAGTGCTCTATCCTTGATGTCAGTGGAAGAAATAGTGTCCCATCCTTGATGTCAGTGGAAGAAATAGTGTCCCATCCTTGATGTCAGTAGAAGAAATAGTGCCCCATCCTTGATGTCAGTGGAAGAAATAGTGCCTCATCCTTGATGTCAGTGGAAGAAATAGTGCCCCATCCTTGATGTCAGTTGAAGGAATAGTGTTCCAATGTTTATATTAGTGGAAGGAAGTATGCCCCATCATTGGGGTCAGTAGAAGGAATAATACCTCATATCAATGACTAGAATAGTGCCCCAAGGCCTGGATAAAGGCACATGGGCCACAGTTTGAAGATCACTGGTCAACCTTTCTCAACCGGGTTTTGTGGAACCCTAGGATTCCCCCAGAGGTTGCTAGGGGTTCCTTGAACATTGGCAGATTGACCTTACATTTGATGGTGCCTGTATAGTTCTGGGGCCAAAAGCACTTGGCAGAGCAAGAAGCAGGACACCAATGATCTTTTTAACTGTCTGTAAGGGCGCTTTCACACAGCAATGCTTCAGTTTCCCTGTAGCATAGGGTTTGTGCATGTTACCCCTGCTTCTAGACTTCTAATAGATCGGGTGTTTTTGAGTGTGTTTTCTGAAACCGCAGCAGGGCAGTATGCAAGGTGCCTAAGGGTGGCATTCTGACCACCACTGTAAGGAAGGCATTATTCCCAGTGACCACCAATATAAGGGGCATTTTCCCCCACTAACCACCAGTAGGTTGGTTCTAGCTGAGGTTTCCTGAGACCTAAAAAGTATTTAAAAATTTCCTCTGGGGTAAAAGGGATGACAATGGCTGGTCTAGAGCATAGCAGAGATTTGATAGCAATTAGAGTAGTGATCAATCACTAAACAGGTGGGACAAACAGCTCCCAAATATGTAGGCTATGCAATTAGGATAAAGTAATGATTGTACAGTATATTGATGCAATTCACTGCTAAAATATGCTTCTAATGCTACTTGTGTAGTTTACACCAAAAGGATCCATTTTTTTTCAACCTATTTAGCAGCTAATCACTACTCCAAGATCTCATTCACAGCACGTGGCGTGTGAACACACAATCATTAAAGCACATTGTTCATTTTATTGTATGCTGTATTCATTTCAATGGGCTGCCTAACATGCCAAAATGCTTTAAAAAAAGGTACACATTACTGCAGCATGATGAGAATGACACATTAGCAATTTATTTGCAGAGATTTGTGTGATGTATACTTAGCTAGCCATCAGACAGTGCACTAGCTTATCTTATGGTATCTGATTTCTTGGTTGTAAATTTTTATTAAAAAAAATTGTTCCATAAAAATACTTTTATAGAAAAAATAAAGTGGAGCTACACTGCAATAGAGCAGCACAAACCAAAAACACAATTGAATTAATTTTTAATATGCACAGCAAACTCTACCATCCATCCATATCTCCATGCTTTATTTTTCTGAGAAATCACCCCTAGCATTTCTGGCAGTGGCCATCATGAGTAAGGACAGGTGATTCATGTAGCGTTTACTTCCTGGAATCCATCTGCCCTTAGCTCGAACATGTAGGCAGAAGGGTGTACTTGGCTGAGAAAACCCCTTCTGCCCTCCTCCCCTCTTGAAGACTCCTGGGATGTATGACATAATTTGCATAGGTATGGAAATCAGGAAGTAACTGAAGAAATGTAAAAAAAAAGTTTAAATCAAGTAAATATAATATAGCTTCCTATCCATTTACTAATGCTAGCAGCATAAGGCCTCATACACACAGGACATTTTAAAAAAGCTGCTGCTCATGGCAGCAGTGTTTTGGCAGAAAAAATGCCTTATGCTCGTAAAAGTGTCTACCACTTTTACAAGTGTTTAGGCGTGTTCACAGGCGTCAAGAACTTGGGCATTAATTCATTTAATCGGCCAGAATAATAATTTATTCTGGCCATTGAAATGAATTAACGCTCAAGCGCTAAATGTGCCTAGCATTAATACGCGTTTAGGTGCGTTTACACTTGTCAAGCGTTTTTGTGCCAAAATGCTGCTGTTCCTGGAGGCACTAGCAATGGGTAAAACAAAACACGTGACACCCCTAAAAGTGGCTGCAAAAAATGCCATGTGTGAATGAAGCCTTAGAAATAAAAATTAAAAATAGTCAGTGTTAATTGGGAGAGTGAAGTTCCGCTTTCTTAAATCAATACTTTCAGATAATGTGTATTGCATTTTAAGTGCACTTATATATAGTACTGGTTAGTATAATGTACTAGTTAGTAAAGAGTGCTGCTTAATATGTCTTTCTTTAGTATCTGAAACATGGATACCAGTCAAAACATCCGGCTCACTTCCTGTGGCAAGGTAGTAATCAATGTACTGTCAATCTACTACTTACCATTTACTGTCATCTGTGTTTCAATGTCACTGCTAGAGATGAGCGAATCGAACCAGGCGAAGTGGAATTCGTTTCGAATTTCAGGAAAAATTTGATTCGTGCCGAATCCGAATATTAGCCAACTTCGGGTGCGCGAATCGGATTTTTCCCGATCAGCCGCAAAAAGTGTCCCTGCAGAGAGCTCCGCTATTTCTGACAGTTCTCTGACAGTTCCTTCACATTTACAGCGGTTGAAACATTGTATCTATTTGTTTCCATTTAGGATACAGATGTTTTTATTCGGAAACAGATACAATGTTTCAACCGCTGTAAATGTGAAGGAACTGTCAGAGAACTGTCAGAAATAGCGGAGCTCTCTGCAGATACACTTTTTGCTGTACTGGAATACTTCTTCTTTTCATTCTTCTTTTCATTCTTCTCATTCTTCTTTTCATTCTTCTTCTCATTCTTCTTTTCATTCTTCTTCTTCTTCTTTTCATTCTTCTTTTCATTCTTCTCATTCTTCTTTTCATTCTTCTTCTTCTTCTTTTCATTCTTCTTCTTTTTATTCTTCTTTTCATTCTTCTTCTTCTTCTTTTCATTCTTCTTCTTTTCATTCTTCTTTTCATTCTTCTTCTTCTTTTCATTCTTCTCATTCTTCTTTTCATTCTTCTTCTTCTTCTTTTCATTCTTCTTCTTCTTCTTTTCATTCTTCTTCTTCTTTTCATTCTTCTTTTCATTCTTCTTCTTCTTTTCATTCTTCTTCTTCTTTTCATTCTTCTTTTCATTCTTCTTCTTTTCATTCTTCTCATTCTTCTTTTCATTCTTCTTTTCATTCTTCTCATTCTTCTTTTCATTCTTCTCATTCTTCTTCTCATTCTTCTTTTCATTCTTCTTCTCATTCTTCTTTTCATTCTTCTTCTTCTTTTCATTCTTCTTTTCATTCTTCTTCTTCTTCTTTTCATTCTTCTTCTTCTTCTTCTTTTCATTCTTCTTCTTTCTTCTTCTTTTCATTCTTCTTTTCATTCTTCTTCTTCTTCTTTTCATTCTTCTTCTTCTTCTTTTCATTCTTCTTTTCATTCTTCTTCTTCTTCTTTTTTCTTCTTCTTCTTCTGGCAACTCCACCACGCAGCTCATTTTTGTTCCAGTATTACTGTATTTTGCTCCTTCAAAATCCTGAAACTTTCTTTTGGCAGGTGTACAGACTCAGGTACTCAGTGCAGGAATGGTGGGAATCCCTCACAATGGACACAGCAGGTGTACATACAGACCCAGGAATTCAACACAGGGACAGTGGGAACCCCTAATAATGGGTAAAGCAGGTGGGCAGACCCGGAATCTCAGCACATGGATGGTAGGGAACCCCTCATAATGGGCACAGCAGGTGTATACCCAGAACCTCAGCACAGGGATGGTGGGAACCCCTAGTAATGGGTGCAGCAGGTGTGCAGACCTGGGACCTCAGCACAGGGATGGTAGAAACCCCTCATAATGGGAACAGCAGGTGTACAGACCCAGGAATTTAGCACAGGGATGGTGGGAACTCCTCCTAATGGGGCAAAGCAGGTGTACAGACCCAGGAACTCAGCACAGGGATGGTGGGAACTTCTCATAATGGGCGCAGCAGGTGTGCAGACCTGGAACCTCAGCACAGGGATGGTGGGAACCCCTCATAATGGGCACAGCAGGTGTGCATACCCAGAACCTCAGCACAGGGATGGTGGGAACCCCTAGTAATGGGCGCACCAGGTGTGCAGACCTGGGACCTCAGCACAGGGATGGTGGGAACCCCTCATAATGGGCACAGCAGGTGTGCAGACCTGGGACCTCAGCACAGGGATGGTGGGAACCCCTCATAATGGGCACAGCAGGTGTGCAGACCTGGAACCTCAGCACAGGGATGGTGGGAACCCCTCATAATGGGCACAGCAGGTGTGCATACCCAGAACCTCAGCACAGGGATGGTGGGAACCCCTAGTAATGGGCGCAGCAGGTGTGCAGACCTGGGACCTCAGCACAGGGATGGTAGAAACCCCTCATAATGGGAACAGCAGGTGTACAGACCCAGGAATTTAGCACAGGGATGGTGGGAACTCCTCCTAATGGGCAGAGCAGGTGTACAGACCCAGGAACTCAGCACAGGGATGGTGGGAACTTCTCATAATGGGCGCAGCAGGTGTGCAGACCTAGAACCTCAGCACAGGGATGGTGGGAACCCCTCATAATGGGCACAGCAGGTGTGCATACCCAGAACCTCAGCACAGGGATGGTGGGAACCCCTAGTAATGGGCGCAGCAGGTGTGCAGACCTGGGACCTCAGCACAGGGATGGTGGGAACCCCTCATAATGGGCACAGCAGGTGTGCAGACCTGGGACCTCAGCACAGGGATGGTGGGAACCCCTCATAATGGGCGCAGCAGGTGTGCAGACCTGGAACCTCAGCACAGGGATGGTGGGAACCCCTCCTAATGGGCAGAGCAGGTGTGCATACCCAGAACCTCAGCACAGGGATGGTGGGAACCCCTCATAATGGGCAGCAGCATCCATTAGAGACTGATATAGTAATATAGTTCATTCTTCTTTTCATTCTTCTTTTCATTCTTCTTCTTTTCATTCTTCTTCTTCTTTTCATTCTTCTTTTCATTCTTCTTCTTCTTTTCATTCTTCTTCTTCTTCTTTTCATTCTTCTTCTTCTTCTTTTCATTCTTTTTTTTCATTCTTCTTCTTCTTTTCATTCTTCTTCTTCTTCTTTTCATTCTTCTTTTCTTTCTTCTCATTCTTCTTTTCATTCTTTTCATTCTTCTTTTCATTCTTCTCATTCTTCTTCTCATTCTTCTTTTCATTCTTCTTCTCATTCTTCTTTTCATTCCTCTTCTTCTTTTCATTCTTCTCATTCTTCTTCTCATTCTTCTTTTCATTCTTCTTTTCATTCTTCTTCTCATTCTTCTTTTCATTCTTCTTCTTTTCATTCTTCTTTTCATTCTTCTCATTCTTCTTTTCATTCTTCTTCTTCTTCTTTTCATTCTTCTTCTTCTTTTCATTCTTCTTTTCATTCTTCTTCTTTTCATTCTTCTCATTCTTCTTTTCATTCTTCTTCTTCTTCTTTTCATTCTTCTTCTTCTTTTCATTCTTCTTTTCATTCTTCTTCTTTTCATTCTTCTCATTCTTCTTTTCATTCTTCTTTTCATTCTTCTTCTTCTTCTTTTCATTCTTCTTCTTCTTCTTTTCATTCTTCTTTTCATTCTTCTTCTTCTTCTTCTTCGTCGTGCCCCGTGACTGCCCAAATGAGTGAAGTGTGCGGTGATTCTAAGATCGACGGCACTCATCTGCATGTCATACTGACTGACAGTATTATTTCTCTTCCCCAGCAGACTCCAAGGGCATTTAAATTAAAGGTACAGTGTTCTGCACTAATATAAAGGCTCTCTGAAGCCTAGAAACCCTTTTAATTAGTTAAATTCGCAGCGAATAAATTTGCATCGAATCGAATTTCTCCCACAAATTCGGCGAATCAGCCGAATCGAATTTTTGAATAATTCGCTCATCTCTAGTCACTGCTGTTTAATAATGTCTGTATAAAAATCAGTAACTTTGTTGCTCAGGTTGGGACATGCATTTGCCACTGTTGGACAACAGATCTATGTGTTTGGAGGTAGTTCTATGGATGGCACGTTCTATAGTGATGTGCATATGCTGGACACAGGTAAATTGCCTTTTTAGTGAAATCAAAATGATTCTAGTGTAATAGCAGGGAAATCCCTGACCATTGTAAACCTATCATTAAATGTTTAGTCTCAGATAAGATGTATATTTCACTGGTTATAAAAACAACAAATTATTTAGATTAATACATTATAAGCGTTTCTAATGTATTCACTTTAGTTTGTTTTGTGAACTAGAATTAAGGTGACAGGCTACTGTTCTAACCATGTGTATAACATTCGTATTTATTTCGCCTAGAGTGCTGTACACACTGTAATTATCTATTCGTGGGCATGAGTCCCTAAGGTCTATATACAGTGGAGTAATAATACAGTAGTTAGCATGGATATAATAGTTTTTTTGTAGTCAGTTGCATTATCACTTTATGGAAAACTGATGATTTGTAACCAAAGCTTTTCATATTTAGATACTAATATTGCTTTTTGATTCCCTGATGTCTTTGGACCTATTTAGCTACTTTAGTTTGGCAGAGTTGTGATATCAAAGGTGAAACCCCAGCAGGAAGAAAATATCATTCATTTACAGCACATCATGATAAGGTACTGTAATAAGTGTATTTATGGAATATTGATTAATAACAACAAATTAGAGTCTTCTCACTACAATTTACTAGTTTTTATCCACTTTAACACCGGGCTAATTCTGACACTTCTCACATATGTGCAGGGTTTTTTTTTTCAGCGGGAACAAAGTTTTGGCACCTCCAGCACGGAATGCATGAAGAAAAGAAGAATGAGAAGAATGAAAAGAAGAATGAAAAGAAGAAGAAGAATGAAAAGAAGAATGAGAAGAAGAATGAAAAGAAGAATGAAAAGAAGAATGAGAAGAATGAAAAGAAGAATGAAAAGAAGAAGAAGAAGAATGAAAAGAAGAAGAAGAATGAAAAGAAGAATGAAAAGAAGAAGAAGAAGAATGAAAAGAAGAAGAAGAAGAATGAAAAGAAGAATGAAAAGAAGAAGAAGAATGAAAAGAAGAAGAAGAAGAATGAAAAGAAGATTGAAAAAGAAGAATGAAAAGAAGAAGAATGAAAAGAAGAATGAAAAGAAGAATGAGAAGAAAGAAAAGATTCTTCTTCTTCTTCTTTTCATTCTTCTTCTTCTTTTCATTCTTCTTTTCATTCTTCTCATTCTTCTTCTCATTCTTCTTCTCATTCTTCTTTTCATTCTTCTTTTCATTCTTCTTTTCATTCTTCTTCTCATTCTTCTTTTCATTCTTCTTCTTCTTTTCATTCTTCTTTTCATTCTTCTCATTCTTCTTTTCATTCTTCTCATTCTTCTTTTCATTCTTCTTCTTCTTTTCATTCTTCTTTTCATTCTTCTTCTCATTCTTCTTTTCATGAAGAAGAAAAGAAGAATGAGAAGAATGAAAAGAAGAATGAAAAGAAGAAAGAAGAAGAATGAAAAGAAGAAGAAGAATGAAAAGAAGAATGAAAAGAAGAAGAAGAATGAAAAGAAGAATGAAAAGAAGAAGAATGAAAAGAAGAAGAAGAAGAATGAAAAGAAGAAGAATGAAAAGAAGAATAAGAAGAATGAAAAGAAGAATGAAAAGAAGAAGAAGAATGAAAAGAAGAATGAGAAGAATGAAAAGATTCTTCTTCTTTTTCTTTTCATTCTTCTTTTCATTCTTCTTCTTCTTTTCATTCTTCTTTTCATTCTTCTCATTCTTCTTTTCATTCTTCTCATTCTTCTTCTCATTCTTCTTTTCATTCTTCTTCTTCTTTTCATTCTTCTCATTCTTCTTTTCATTCTTCTTTTCATTCTTCTTTTCATTCTTCTTCTCATTCTTCTTCTCATTCTTCTTTTCATTCTTCTTTTTCTTTTCATTCTTCTTCTTCTTCTTTTCATTCTTCTTTTCATTCTTCTCATTCTTCTTTTCATTCTTCTCAATTCTTCTTTTCATTCTTCTTCTTCTTTTCATTCTTCTCATTCTTCTTTTCATTCTTCTTTTCATTCTTCTTCTCATTCTTCTTTTCATGAAGAAGAAAAGAAGAATGAGAAGAATGAAAAGAAGAATGAAAAGAAGAAGAAGAATGAAAAGAAGAATGAAAAGAAGAATGAAAAGAAGAAGTATTCCAGTACAGCAAAAAGTGTATCTGCAGAGAGCTCCGCTATTTCTGACAGTTCTCTGACAGTTCCTTCACATTTACAGCGGTTGAAACATTGTATCTGTTTCCGAATAAAAACATCTGTATCCTAAATGGAAACAAATAGATACAATGTTTCAACCGCTGTACATGTGAAGGAACTGTCAGAGAACTGTCAGAAATAGCGGAGCTCTCTGCAGGGACACTTTTGCCGGCTGATCGGGAAAAATCCGATTCGCGCACCCGAAGTATGCTAATATTCGGATTCGCCGCGAATCGAATTTTTCCTGAAATTCGAAACGAATTCCACTTCGCCTGGTTCGATTCGCTCATCTCTAGTGAGAAACACTGGCATAGACTGTAAATTATTTATGGTTTGAAAAAAAGACTCTTATGTACTCTGTAAAGTTTTATGTGGCAGCACTGCATAAAAATATTTTGGAGGAAAAATATATCCTTTATTTGTTTATGCTTGATTTGCCTCCTGAGTTGCAGCAGCCCTGGAGTGAGAATGTGTTCCAATGGAACAAAAGTGTAAGATTAAGTTTGACAGCTGATAAAGCATACATGACTACCTATATAGTATACCAGTAAACACCATCAATTCTATATTACATTTTTTTTTATATTGCTGTGTATTGAAAACTTATTTAGAGAACATTTCCTATGAAAATCAGGTCCAGTGTCTCAGATAGTAAGGCTGTTGTGGCAGAGCCTACAGATTTCTTTCCTTGTTTTGTCTGGAGTTTATAATGAGCACCCTTTTTTATTAACGTGTTGCATGATTATTGGTGCTTTATAAATAAAGGATAATACAAATAATATGTACAGTGGGGATCGAAAGTTTGGGCAGTTTTCTAGACAACTGCTTAGAAGAACCCATGGTGCTGATTGTTGGGGCAAGGTCAGATGAGTCTGGGCATTTAAAACCTTTGAGACTGACATCACCTGGTCTTCCCAGACGATGATTGAGAACAATCCATGACACTGGCAGGTCACAGCTTTGCAAAGCGGGCAGTGCATGCTATAAATTCTGCAGACTTTTGTTTTCTGTTATTTTGAAAGTGTAAATGATGGAAATAAAATCTAACTTTTGTTGACATATTATAAGAATGTCTAATCTGTAATTTGATGCTTTTGGAGATTTTTCCATCTTTCCTTGGCTTCTTTATGCACATTAATACAAATTTTTAGCTGGGTGCCCAAACTTTTGATCCCCACTGTATATAGTGAAACTATGGACATGGCCTTCAGACACCCTCTCTCTAATCTTATCACTTTTTTTTTTTTTTATCTTAACAGGATATTTACCTGTTTGGAGGAATCACAGAGTGTGAAAATGAAACCAAAATGCTTAAATGTGACGTCATGAAATTAAGCCTTGGTAAGAAATGCATTACTAGAAAATGAATAATTGTAAAATGGTATTTAGAAATGTATTACCAAGACAAATGAGACTATAAATGAAATTAAGTAAATAAATGACCAAATACACTTCAATATTTGTCTACAGATATTTATAATAATATTTACCGGATCTTTACAGTGCCAGGGAGATTGAAAATTAAGAGATTAAGCAAAAGGTGAAGAACAGCTTTACAGGCCATTTCACAGATTTCCGCACTAAAAGAACGCTAGTCACCACTAGAACGCACAGAAAACA